CATTACTGTTCTCAAACTTAGATTTAAGAAAAACGCGGTTGCAAAACTTTGTTTATTTGACCACCTAGTGTCCCTCGGGCCAACCTCAGGCTCAATCCCTTCTACTTCTGGAATACATGTAATAATTTCAACTCAATGCGTTCTTCTGCCTAATGGGAAGTCCTAGAAAGCTACAGTGGTATGGATTGGCTTAGCAGTGGCTACCAGTGCTACACATATGAATTGTAAAAGCATGAGTTGTAGGTAAGAGAAGGAAGCTTAATTAGAATGTCGATGTTGCTTTCCTTCTGTACCTCTTTCATTGTGCACCCTTGTGCCTAATGTAGCGCCACAAAGAAGAAGTAGTACATATGGCTAAATATATGTTTTAAATGGTTCAAACCGAAGGCCAGACGCATACAAAAGCAAACCTCCAGACACACAGATGGTTACAGAGGCCTCAATAGGTAATAATTACTTTCGGCTCCATGCGAAGTAAAATAATGCCTGCGATATCGACTTTAAGTGAAGCCTTAAGTATATTTTATCATTCCACACTTTTAAAAAACTTTTGTGCAGTAAAATACTTCTTATTGAGTGCTACATATCATAAGAAACCTCGAAATACTAAAATATCTAGGAAAGTCTCCTTAAAGTGTGTTTGTTTTACTGTTTTGTTGTTACGACGATTAGGCAGTGCATCATGTCCTCCTGAGGATTTTTTCACGTTTTAATGGAATTTCTTCAGTGTACAGGTGAGCTGCAGTGTAGATTTTACGTAGTTATGCCATCGCATTCAATATGGGTAACAGCGTAATGTTAATAGACTCTTCATTTTTTTGAAAATTTTGTATCACTGTGCTGCTTATCGCTGAAGTAAATGATAGTGATATTTTGGTGGGTTTCTGCGCGATTTCATTCTTTGCTTCTCCTCATTCTCAAAGCTTTCACTGCTGGCAGGGCATGCAAGTTGTATTGAACCTAGTAAAATTTGCTTATTAGGGTTTGCGAAGTAATAGTCCTTTGCTTGAACTAAAACCTCTTTTGAAAACGCACGTGTTGCAACTCTGGGATACTAAGCTTCCCCTCATCATGTAGGCACGTGTACATGTGCTAACCCTTGCTTTCTACTGCTTGCTTGCCCAAATCGGAATATTCGGTATTGTCGTGCATGCTCCATTTCTTTCTATTTTTTTCTATACCTGTTTCGAGGCATTAAAGTTATTCGGTTCTGTCTCCATGTCGACCTGTTATTTTTTTATGTGCTTCAACCTCTTCTTATTTTCCATTTCAAATAGCCTGAGCTCTTAAGTACCACTTTCCTTCCTAGATGTCGGTTGATCATAGGGATGCGTTACTATGGCCCCAAAATGACACTTTTAGCAAGGAGGATTATTCGGTCGCTCGCGCCTTTTTGGATAGCTCCAATGTGGATGGTAATTGCAAAGCGGAGTCACACATGGGATGCTGGGCTGGGTCCACTCCCGTTAAGGATTCGTCACCTAGCTCCACTGAACCTACGTCTATGTTGAGCGATAAAAGTAGTTGCCGTGGAACTGTTGAAACGAAGAATTCTGAGAATACTTGTTTTTCTACTGATACCGGTGACACGGAGCATCCAACTAGCGAGGGATCTCTGTCACCGTTGCCTCCGTCGTCCCAATATCTCATTGAGACAACGAACTCGCTATCATGTTCCTTGCAAAACGCCCCATCGGATTTAAATACACTGAACTCAGGGCGTGAGGTATCGAACCATTCAGGTGTTGTTGTGTCACGTAGTCGAGCGCCTCAACTGCCTCTTAAGGAGCAGTTTTCGCAGGAATTTCCTGTTATCAGTTCGAATGAGTACAAACCTGCATCTGCTGCCAACGATCGTCCTCCTTTCCTCGATTCTCATTCTAGCTACTACAATGGTTCTGCATCAAATCGAATGGGTTTTTCCAACGTGGAGCGATCATCCTATCACATTCATTCGCAACATGGATGCAACACGTGTCCTGATTGTTATCCTGACTCCAGGAAATTCTCTACTCCCTCTCTTCTCTCGGATGTTCTAGGTTTGTATAAAAGGCCTTCTTACCAAAACGAGGTGTTTTGCCAATCAGGACTTCAAAAATTTCCTAATTCTTACCAATCGACTTACTCATCAAGTCCTTATTGTTGGAAATCGAGCTGCCGATCACCCGGGCTTCCAACCTGCTCTCAGGAGAGTCTGGAGGTGAGGAGACGCTTCGCTTTGCAACAAATGTATCAGAGTGCTCAAGCAAACCGGCGGTTACCCCGATCAGCTGCTCGAGAGTTCTATCAACAAGCACAGGATCGCGCGCGACAGTCGCATTATCCTTACTTGGATCCATATACTCATTTTCGTGGCTCGTTGTCTGAGTATACGGAGTCGAAAAAGTATGCAGATTATTCCACTGGTGGTGGTAGGCTTCCATACTCCGGTTACACTC